CACATGCAGGTATCCAAAAATCTAGCGAAACAATGCTATCACAAAGTCAAGTAGGAAAGAGTCACTCTCTTAATCAAAAGAAATGCTAAAGTCATGCTTATAACGACAGGCAAAATATTGTAGTTCCGCGTACGCAAAAGGAGGAAGACAAGAAAAAAACGCTTAAATTCAAACTGGGAATGATAAAATAAAATCGAAATAGCAATAAGAGCAGTAACTATACAACCGCATCAATTCGATGCTAATTAAGTAAACGAGAACGATGCGAACCCAGTCCAAATTGGAAGAGTATAGCGAAGTCAAGTTGGCCAAATATCTTCTGTCTGGACATTGTGCTTACAAACAAACTGGAACAGGTGACAAAAAACTATCACTTTTAACGTAGTGAAAGATAAACATATAATAAGAGGATATACGTTTTTAACATAAATTATAAAAGTAATATCAGTAATATGAAAGTCGACTAGGCATAGGCAACTCTGGATATGGGGCAACACCAGTACGTGGTGGAAGAGACGGAGTAGCTTGAGAGTATTGTTGATCTCGTAATATAGAAATTAGGCGATCGGACTTTACTTTCCTGAAGGAAGTGGATAGTGTGATGGGTAAGTAAAGCAATAAAAAAGCAAACCAACCGTAAATGAGCTAAAGTTTTCTTTTCATGAAGATCTTTGAGAAATTGTTCTGTAGAGATTGTGCCCGAGAGGAAAGCTCTGATTGTGCTCTAAATATGAGGATGCAGAGAGCAAAAGTTGAAAATTCAAGTCCTAGTAATTGATGATAAACCTCAGCATCATCGTCGGCCTCTTGAGCAGCAACTTGGAGTAAGTTACTTGTGGTATCAAGTGATTTTGAAGAAGATATTTCATCTAAAAACGCCGTTGAAATAAACGCTAGTGAGAAAAACGAAGTAACTCACCCAATTTTGCTTTTAGCGATTCTGTTTCTGTCCGTAAAGCTGTAGCTTGCCCATGAAGTGTTTTAACCTTAAAAGTTGTACATCATTATGGAGTATGAAGTCAGGAAAAATCATGGATATCAATCAAACGTGGATGAAAATCAATGATATCACTAATGTGTGCTGCATTGGTGCGAATACCTTAATCCATTATATTTG